AAGTTTCCCAAATCCCCAAATTCCTTCAAATCCCCAAATTCCTCAAATTTCCCAAATCCCCAAATTTTCCCCCATTCTCAAATTTCTCAAATTCCCCAAGTTTCCCAAATTCTCAAGTTTCCCTAAATTTCCCCAAATTTCCTAAATTCCCCACGTTTTCCAAATCTCCAAATTTTCAAATTTCCCAAATTCCCAAATCCCCAAATTTTCCCACATTCTGAAATTTCTCAAATTCCCTAAGTTTCCCAAATCCCCAAATTCCTCAAATTCCCCAAATTCCCCAAATTTCCCAAATCCCCAAATTTTCCCCCATTCTCAAATTTCTCAAATTCCCCAAGTTTCCCAAATTCCCAAGTTTCCCCACATTTCCCCAAATTTCCGAAATTCGTAAATTTCCCCAAATTTCCTAAATTCCCCACGTTTTCCAAATCCCCAAATTTTCCCCAAATTTCCCAAATCCTGAAATTACCAAATCCCACTCTAAAAAATGTGCAAATCCAAAAACCAACTATAAACCTCCTGTCATATTTTCCCTAAAGAACATAAACTCTCCGTTGCACACCACCTGTTCAAGACATGAGTCACTAATACTCACCGGTAAGTAACATGTTCCTAGCATTAAGAGCGACAGACAGGTAAGCATGTTGACTATCAAACGTCGTTGGCACGATTATTTCGCGGGTCCGTAAAGTAACGTGGTTTTGCAACGTGGTCAGACTGAATCCTTACGATGTTACACGAACGACGGTCTACATCCGATTCGGACGGAGTCGGCTGGTCTGCAGCGACTCCGACGCTCGGCGCTGGTTCAGTCGCTTCGCGCGCCTCGTGTCGTACGCATCGATTTTTGTTCGCTCTCGCGTAAATCGCCGATTTCGTGTCGTGATTTATTCATTGAATCTTACGTTCGTGCAAAATTCTTTGCCTACGTGATTTCTATCGTTGGTGATCGTTTCCAGTTCTTTGTTCTTCGTTTCGGAAGGGTTTTGGTGGCCGAGGTGAGTAGCGCGATTTTTTAAAATGCGGTTCTTCTGAGAATTTTTCAATTTTCTTCTCTTCAGTGATTTGACATTTATGAAAAGTAAGTGGGACAAGTGTTTAGCGCTTGGTGAGGCAACAGTGGATTCACAATTTGATCACTGCAGTTTAAAAATTTTTTTTAATAATCTGATAAAATTTCTAACATTTGTGCAAAATATAAAAAATTTCATGAATGACAAAATTTGGTAGTTTTGTATATTATAAGAAATGATTAAAAAGCGCTATATTTTGGAAAACAACAGAATTCGTATGAAAGTGACAAATAACGGCAATCGGAAAGTTCGATTTTGCGTCGTGTTACATGAAATATGAAAACGATACCGTTTTCGATCACAATACTTCGTTTCCCGAACGAATATGTTCGGTCGTATTTAAATACACATTATCGTATAGCTACGGCACAGACATTTCACGGTGACAGTGCAAGGATCGTGAATTATTTGTTATTTTTTGTAGGGACATAAATTCCGTTTTAGAGTCGACGTTCGCCAGCGTTCGATACGCGTTCGGTCAGTTACTGTTCATCTCGCAGCAATAATTTCGAGTTATACGTATCGGGGGGAAATAAAAATCATGCGACTGGCATTATTTCCCGGTACAAATTTCACGCAGAAAAAGAATCAGTTTCGTGACAGTAACGTCAATGACATTCATCGATTTATTTCATTAAAAAGTGACTTGGCAGATGTTGAAAATCTGCAGTTGGACGGTGCTCCTTTTATATAGCTACTTTCTCTGTATCCGCGTAATACGGGACGCGTATAAGTTCGTCGGAATGATTGATTGCAGGGGATAAGACGAAACAACCGAGCGGATTTCTTCGTGAACTTTTCGTGTTTCACGTTAATCGAAAAGAGCTTCTTATCGAGGGAGAACGCGCAAGTTGAAACTCAATTTCTGACGAATCACAATGCGAACGTTCATGGATTGTGTATCGAAGCTATCGGCTGGGACTTCAAGCGGTGTAAATTAAATGAGTCATTAATCTGTTGCGTTGAGTATTGAAAGTGAAAGTAAGGAGGTCTGAAAGAAATTGAAAACTCAGTAGATGTAAAGTTCATATGTGGCGATATAATGCAGAGTAATTGTTTGCTGATATGATGCACGACTCCACATTTTGCAATATAAGAAGAGAGGATATATGTAGGATATTCACATATTGACCTCATGTCATTTCATTTGATAATATAGCGAATGATTCTGTATATTGCAACTTTCTGTATATTGCAACTATACAGCAAGTAACTTCACACATGGTGATATAACACGTGATGATTCTACGCATAGAAATTCACGTATCGATCACATGTGTTGTCATGTCACATATGATGGAGTAGAGAGTGAGAATTCTACACGTATTCACATATCGATCACATGTATTGTCACATGTGGTTACTGCACACACGGCGATATAGCGAGTAACAATTCTACACATAGCAAGTTCACATATCGAACCATATGTAATGTCACATGTGACGATGTGGAGAAGGAGAATTCTACGCATAGCAAATTCACATATCGACTCCATGTGTTATCATGTCACATGTGGTTACTATATGGCGATATAGCGAGTAGCAATTCTACGCATAGGAAATTCACATATCGACCCCATATGTGATGTCACATATGAGGATGTAGAGACTGAGAATTCTACGCATAGCAAATTCACATATCGACGCCATGTGTAACGTCACATATGACGATATGGAAAATAATTCTATATATTGCAACTACATGTGTTGTTACTACACATATGGTGATACAGTAAGTAACAGTTCTACACATAGCAAATTCACGTATCGCCTCATATGTGATGTCACATATGAGGATGTAGAGACTGAGAATTCTACGCATAGCAAATTCACATATCGACGCCACGTGTAACGTCACATATGACGATATGGAAAATAACAATTCTATATATTGCAACTACATGTGTTGTTACTACACATATGGTGATACAGTAACAGTTCTACACATAGCAAATTCACGTATCGCCTCATACGTGATGTCACATATGAGGATCTAAAGAATGAGAATTCTACGCATAGCAAATTCACATATCGATCCCATGTGTTGTCACGTCACATATGAATACTACACGGCGATATAGCAAGTAACAACACAACGCACTGCAAATCCACACATCGCCCCATATGTAACGTCACATATGACAATATACCAAGTAACAATACTACACACAGTAAATTCACATATCCCCATGTGTTATTTCACACATGATACAGGGTGACATTTCTATATATTGTACACATAGTACTTCACACACGTCAATAGTTCAAATAATTCTACGTGTTACAGCACACATCGTAATTCCACATATGACGATATATCGAACGACAATTTCATACATTGTAACGTGCAGTAACTCCACACATGTCGATATAGTAAATGACAATTTTACGAGTGGCAATTCTACGCGTACGAAACTCATATGTGGTAATTCTACATATGACGACATAATGACTATTTTACTCGCTCCAAGGATTCATAATACCGTGTTAGAACCTGTTTCGTGACAATTCTCTTTACAATTTCATGTGTGGTCATATAAAATTTCCGACTTTGTTCAAAAATATCAAGATTTGCAATATGAACGTTCAGAAATTATTTGAATTAATTCGTCCATTTGCAAACTCATCCTGCAAAGTATCTATAGAAAACTCTATACAAGACAACTTCATAAAAAATTCACTTAAGATTGTAAAAATTAAAATGATATATGAATTGATTTCACAATAGAAAGTAGGCGAATAAAACGTAGATTCATTGAAAGTTTAATTAACGAGTGAATTGAAAATTCGACGCTCGATCACGAGTGAAAAGTCACCGGCCAGTTAAAGAAAAGAATCGTTTTTTGAAATCCGAAGAAAGTGGTCGCGGGTAAGATGGCACGTTAATAACGTAGCATTGGAGGCAACTCTCCGGAGATTGCCTTTTTCCTATTTAGAAGCGCCTTTTGAAGGCTTCCCTCCTCACGTTCCTTTTTGATTATGCAAATAAACCGGTTGCACGAATATTACGTTTCACCGAAAGCAGCGGCGTTTTAACTGATGTCGTCTTAACTGGAAAATTATCGCACAGATGATGAAGTTTCCTTTCGAAGCGATCGCTATCTACGCCTAAAAAACTCACCTGTAGCTCGTCTAATGTATTTAAACGTTCCTCAGGAAACTCCATGAAATCCCCATTTTTTCAACGGCGACAAAAAGTTTATTGCGATTTAAGCGTTTCGGATTCCTCGGCTGATCGCGTTTTTATGGCCTTTTTATTTCTACGTCGAAATGCCGAGTCTGTACGCGAGGTAGTCTCGATATTTCCCTGCTGTGGGGGCTCCAGATTATTCACGAGTTATTTGAAGACTCAACACTGTGACAAAATTGTGGTCTAAGATTAAGAGAAACCAGAAATTCCAATTTTGAAAGGAAAACTTGACCTAAATACTCGAATCTATAATTCAAGCGAGTTAGTCTCGATATTTTCCTGCTGTGGGGGCTCTAAATTATTTACAAGTTATTTGAAGATTCAACAATGTGACAAAATTGTGGTCTAAGATTAAGAGAAACCAGAAATTTCAATTTTGAAAGGAAAACTTGACCTAAATACTCGAATCTACAATTCAAGCGAGTTAGTCTCGATATTTCCCTGCTGTGGGGGCTCTAGATTATTTACAAGTTATTTGAAGACTCAACACTGTGACAAAATTGTGGTCTAAGATTAAGAGAAACCAGAAATTCCAATTTTGAAAGGAAAACTTGACCTAAATACTCGAATCTATAATTCAAGCGAGTTAGTCTCGATACTTTCCTGCTGTGGGGGCTCTAAATTATTTACAAGTTATTTGAAGATTCAACAATGTGACAAAATTGTGGTCTAAGATTAAGAGAAACAGAAATTCGAATTTTGGAAAGAAAAACTTGAGGGGTAAATTTGTTGGGGACTCGGGAAACGTTGAAAACAAACTTAACGGAGATCAGGGAACAAGAATGATACCTCTGTAGAGCCTCCAAGAGCAATTAGGAAGCTTCAATTAGCCGAGCGAAGGAAGGAAGAAAGCCGAGAACGATAATACGACAGACAACGACTCGCTTTTGTTTAAAAGTACCGGCTTCTCCTTTGTTGCTAAAACGAACGTTTGCGCCACGAGTCGCCGATTAAGAATCGATAACTTTGGATTACGGTGAACTATACTTTTCGTTTACTAGGAATTTTGTTAAATTAAGTATCTTGGGAAGTTGTGACATTTCAAGTTTAGAATTTTAATATTTTTTAATATTAAGACAAATTAATGAACAGAGATGAAAAATATACGGTATTCGATATTTTCCTGCTGTGGGGGCTCTGTCAAGTTTATGAAACCCTAAAGTTCTCCGATCTTGAAATTTCATGACTTTGGAAAAATAATCAAGTTATAATTGTTCTACATGAATAATGTAATTAATAGAGATGTAACACGCACAAAAGTACTCGATATTTTCCTGCTGTAGGGGCTCCGATATTGAAACTTCGTAACCTCGAAAAAAATCATCAAGTTATAATTATTCCACAAGAACAATGTAATCAATATCGACGAAAAACATGCAAAAGCAACGATTTTTTCAAACTTCCCAGCAAAGTAATTTGCATGTTTAAGTCCTGCACTCTTCAAAATTTATGTAGATTCCTGATAAGGTTCCGCGCAAAAGTTGGCGGAAGGCTGTGTACACAGGGACAACAAACATCAGTTCCGAATGTTCATTTTCGCTTCTTTCGAAACGAATTATTCCGACGAAACATAAAGGATAGTTCACGTTAACTCGATCGATGGCAAAACAACTGGGAGTAAATTGTACGGGATGAACGAGCTGTCAGAAGCTCTTCATATTGCAGGAAAGCAGACACTATATTTCAAGCAGCTAAAGAACAATTTCCTTCGAAGTCGCGTTTGTTCTCATCTCGG